TTTTTTTTGCATTTTACCTTTTTGACAAAATAATGCTGCGTAAAATAATTTCTAATCCATCAGTTTAATCAATTAATTTACCTGTTCTTTGCATGGAACTTTTCCCAATGTCCAGATACCACTTTAACCTGTGTGGACAAATCTTAGTGAAGTAGTCTTTTTCGTCATTTCTATCACTTATGAGATTCTCTGTGAATATGACAGCCTCTGGTTTCAGTGGAATCCATGTTAGTCTCTGAAAATCAAATTCAAGAAAGCCTTCTCCATCATATCCATACTGAAGTACACCATTCACTTCTCCAGTGTTTTCATTCCATTCACAGCCTTCTATCTTCTGTACAATGTGAACTCCTGAAAAGAGAAAGAGAAAACAGATATTGCAATGAACCGGGTTGATATTATTGTGCATACATTGGTATTCTCCGAGATCTGTGTTATGCTTATGCATCAAGTCAGTTCATATTTAACATTTTCTTACACCTGATTGATTAATACTACAAGAAAAAAGGTTTAAAAAGGCAAGAGACAGAAAGTGATTCATTTGAGGGTTATAAACTCTAAGAAGAAGAAAAAGTGCTTGTTCTAACTCAAGATTAAAATTTAAAATTGTAAATGTGTTGTTTAATCAGCTTTTTAAATGGATGTTCACATTAACAATGTTTGAGAATACCAGATCTCACTGAAGAAACTGAAAATTAAGACTTTAGTTGTAAATGAATCAGTTGTCTTCAGATATACAGTATCCTATGGTTTGCAATGATCTAAAATAAGATAAGGAAATACTGTACCTCCAGTTTGGTTGGACTGCCGCTTCAGTATAGAAATAAATTCTGTGAAGAAGTCTGGTAGATTGTAAAAACAGTAATAAGTGTACATTCTCAAGTGCCCGTGGTAATTATCTAACGCTTGTTTCACCCAGTCCTGTCTTGGCTGTATTGTTTGGTTGTTGATGTCACAGTAACCAACCTCAACACCATCAACCTCTGCAAAAGCCGCCAAGTCTGGGATGTTTGGAATCCCAGATGATCCAGTGATGAAATACATCAGTGAGTGTTTGTCTGTGGGCAAACAATGTTTATAATGTTAGTAAATAAGGAAATACAAACATATCATAAACATATCAGAAATGATCACAAATAACCAACCAAGTACAACAGTTACACATATTTTGGACAAGATTATTTGAATCCATAATAAACATTCACGTAATGACTAGTAGAAGAGAAAATGCAATATCATTTATAATCAAAGATAAATCAAAGCATAAGTTTGATCTATATATCAATGAAAAATGCAATTGAAGTAATGAAAGTTTGTGATGGTGTGTCTGTACACATAAGCTAGCCTTAACCTTGGCAGTTTTGTGTGCATCTGAAGCAATGCAGGAACATAAGAACTGTCATGGTCCCTGTGTCTCGCCGGCTGACTTGGTGTCAGGCGACATGTTTCTTTTTGTTTTGGCTCTCTCCCCTCTCTCTCTAATAATGGATTGCATTTATATAGCGCTTTTCTAGGCACCCAAAGTGCTTTACAATTCCACTATTCATTCACTCTCACATTCACACACTGGTGCAGGCAGACCACAGTAGCCACAGCTGCCCAGAAGCGAGGCTGCCATATTGCGCCATCGGCCCCTCTGGCCAACACCAGTAGGCAGTAGGGTAAAGTGTCTTGCCCAAGGACACAACGATCAGGACAGAGAGAGGTGGGGGGATTGAACCTTCCGGTTACAGATGAGCTTCCCAACGGCAGTGTTTATTACGGGTGTCACGGTCTGCGGAGACAGGCCGTGCGGTGGTGTGTGTGATGGACCCAGGTGCGTACACAAGTGAGTAGACGGGAGTGAACTTAACAGAAAGCAAGCCTTTATTATGGCTGAAGACAAAGTATACAAACAAAGCAGGGGTAGCGTGACTAAACTAGACTATAACTAAACTGGGAAAACTAATACTGTGACAAACTAAGAAGAAGAAGCGACACTGAACACAGCAAGACTGAGGACTAAATACACACATGAGGTGATCAGGGGAAGTGGAGACACATGAGGACACAGCTGACTAGAATGAAACATAATTACAGCACAAGGGAGAGTAAACCTAAATGCAGAGAACAAAGAACACCAGACTCTTTCAAAATAAAACAGGAAACACAGAGACATGAAGATAAATCATGACATGAACTTAACATAACCACACAGACATGAAACATGACAGGTAGACACACGAATCAGGGAGACTGAGTACAGGGGGAGATGACAGAAACAACTAAGAAATAAAGGACTAAATAGCCACCTAGAAATTAACTAGATCAAAAATGGATACAAAACTACATAAAACTCAAACACTGGGTCACACGACCCAGCCAATGACAGCGGGCTCCCACTGCTGGCCCATGCACCTGCTCTTATCACCACACCTGTTGCTCATTCAAGCAGATTGCGACACTTCTTAAGATGGCGGACCTACGCTAGTCTTTGCTGGATCCAAGATCTGAATCTGTGGGTTTTGTTACTTTCTGCTAACCTGACTTTTCTGTGTGTGTAGATCATTCCTGAACATGTTTGGCTTTGTATTGAACAGATGAACGAGAGGAGTGGCTGAGGAGAGGAATTGGATTTTTGTGAAGAAAAAGTGGAACACTTCTTCCCTACCTCCCTACCCTGGATACCCAGACCCCTTTCCCCTGGCACTTTGTACATATTCACTTGTTTTTTTTCACTGTAAATAAATGCACTGTCTTTTGCCCAAGGAATACCTGGTCTGCGCCATTGAAAGAACCTTGTCAAGAAGGTGTTGTCAACTCATCATACACATAATCCCTAATCAGAAAAATAGTATTGTTTTAATTGTTAAACACTGAATATGTGTTTAATTATATGTGTCACCGTGTTTGGGCGCAGACCGTGTGGAATGTGAGTGGAGGACCCAGGTCCGGACACAGACGAGGAGACAGAATTAATCCGAACAAAAAGCGAGCTTTATTTGGGCTGCTGACTAGAATGAAAAAACAAGACAACTTGAACAGTGACGTAAACTAGACTGAAATCTAAACTGAGAGAAACTACCTAAGATAACTGTGACTTAAACTGTGATAACTATGAATCCACGATGATAACTATAAAGACAATGATAGTTATGAAGACTATGATGAGACCTGGAGCGTGGAAACACGGACAATGTGACGAGAAATGAATGCAAAAACAAGGACTAAGGCTGTGTCCCAATTAAGAGACCGCACGCTTGAAGTACGCACACTACGCGTACTACGTACGGTGCGTACTATAAGTATGAGAAGTGCGGAAGTGAGAGGCTTGTGAAATGGGACGGTCAAGCCTCTGTCGCGCTGTTCAGGTGGCCTAGCAACCATGATACTAACTGCGAGAAACATTACATATAGCATTGTTTGACAGAAATGAAGGAAAAAAATGTTTTGTTGGTCATTCATTTTTGTCATGACATCACTTTGATTAGTTGAGTATCTGAGGCTGAGACCACAGGACTTTAAAACATGATTGTTGGGCTTCATTTCTGAACTGAACAGTCATTTCTTTTTTTTTCTTTTTTTTTTATCTGGCCCAATTCCCCCCTTTCTAGATCCACGTCCACCTAGCCACGTTAACTAGGCCTTGCCACATCAAGTTCTATGTATTGTTGGCTTTGTCCTTGTCACGGTTTCAAGTTTGAGTTTAACAAATAAACAGTGTAAAATGTTCTGCTGTCTCTGTTCCAGGTTCCTGCGCTTGAGTCCAGTTTTTGGTACCGACCTTTCGGTCTTGTGACAGACAACAGGTATTTTGGGTGTCTACAGCCATCTGTAAAACACAATGTGGAGAGTCTGTGGGAATCCATTTCAGCCAGTGGTCTCGTGGACCTTGTCAAAATTGGTGGAATTATAAATGCTTAAAATTACCACCAGATGGAAAGCATCTGATTGGCAAGGTTCATTTTCAGGATGACAATGATCCCAAACACACTACCAGTGCAAAAACAAGGACTAAGGCTGTGTCCCAATTAAGAGACCGCGCGCTTGAAGTATGCGCACTACGCGTACTACGTACGGTGCGTACTATAAGTATGAGAAGTGCGGAAGTGAGAGGCTTGTGAAATGGGACGGTCAAGCCTCCGTCGCGCTGTTCAGGTGGCCTAGCAACCATGATACTACCCATACGGAAAAGAAATAGTAAAAACTTATATGTGATTACTCATGAAAGTGGCCACTTTCATGAGTAAATCATATAAGGCTTACATGATTTACTCATGAAAGTGGCCACTTTCGCATTACTTTCATAT